AAATAAATTATATTATATTCCTATAGAACCTTTATTAGAAAGCTAATTAATCCTTATTATGTCTTTAAAAGGAAAGGATATATATTTTTATACTTAGCACTTACGCTTAGGGCATATAAATAGTAGGGCTATTTTAGAAAGATTAAAAAGATATAATAAGGATATAAAAATACCTCTAGAAGAGGAAAATAAAATAAGGCAATGCGAAATATATATTAGAGCTAAAGCAACGAATAAGGTTAATAAACAATCTTCGTATAAGTCTTATTCTTATTTAGAAAAAATAGTATTAGATATTTAGGGGCTAATTAAAGTGCCTACTTATAATAAATATTACTATTATATTTCTTTCCTAGCATGTAGGAACCCGATATCTAGAAATATACCTTCTTGAAAAAGGAGAAGCTCTAGATAGGTTCCTAGAATTTAAAAATAGGTAGAAAATAACCCTAAAAATACTAGGATTAGAGAAGCATTTTCTAATAATGCTAAAGAATTTATATATAAAATAAAGCTCTATTACGAAAAAGAAGGAATTACCTTTAATTCTAGTCCTCCTAGGACGCCGGAATCTAACGGTAGAATAGAAAGAATAAATCGTACTATATTAGAAAAAGTACGAGCTCTTTTATTTACTACTAGGCTTCTTAAATATCTATAAGGAGAAGCTGTTTTAATAGCTACCTATTTATATAATAGATTACCGTATTCTACGATAGGATTTAAAAGTCCTATAAAAAAGAGGGATAATATAATACTACCCTTTAAGACCTTAAATAAAATTAAGACCTTTAGAAGCCTTATATATTATAAGAATAAAGACCCTAAATATAAGCTAGATAATAGAGCCTTTAAGGGAATAATAGTAGGCTATTTAGAAAATGCATATAAAATCTAGGAATTTTCTAAGAGAAAGATTACTATCTCTAGAGATATTACTATACTAGAAAATAAATTTATAAAAAATCTAGAAATCTCTAGTAGTAATAATACCTTTGATTTTAATTCTATTCCGAATAAAGATAAGCTAGAAAGCAATATCCCTATAGAGGAAGCTACTAGAGAACCTAGAGATAAAAGTCCCTCGCCCTCTATAAAAGAAGAGTCTCTAAATAACGATCCTATTCCTACTACTAGTAAAATAGTAGTAGAATTTCCTAAGAAGCTTGAAGGGTTCGATTCTAACTATATGTTACGACCCGACCAACGGTTGGTCACAAGCAGCCCTCAACAAGGCCGACACGTGACGGAGGGGTACAGGATCCCGCGAAGTCACGTGATGGATCATTTGGATCACTTGGTGATCCCAACGATCCGGCTCATTGGATCATCTCGATGATCCAACGACGATGTACAGGATCATTGGATCGTCTCAATGATCCAACGATCCGTGAACAGGATCATCACGTTCGCTGAATGATCCACGAAGGACCACTGGGTATATAAGGACACCCAATTCCACTCCTTTAGACTAGATAGCTCTTTAGCTTTCAACACAATCATTACGATCCCTATCACGATCTCATCTCTGATTCCGATCACTTGATTACCTGGTTACAGTCTACGGTCTACGACCTCCGACTCATCACCAACGTGACATACTTATCATTGCTCAGACCACGCCCTGTTGTATCTGCCAACATAAACCCCACGACAGGTTTATCCTTGGGAATATCACCGGTCGTCACACGTTGAAAGCTCTTGTTCAGAACGATACCGCGTCTCTCTGAGCAATATCGCATAACTGTCAACATGCCTGCACAGCAAACTGGATCAACCAACTCGGGACACACCGTGTCGCCGCAGGACATGATGCGCGAAATCATCAGCCTTCGACAGGAGGTCCAAGTGCTCAGGAACGGAGGAGGCAACGGACAAGTCAGGGACATCGGAGAAGCAGTCAAACCAAAACAGCCAGGACCATTCGACGGTACTCATGGCACGCTTCGAGACTTTCTCACCCAACTCAAAGCCTACCACCGATTCTATCCGACCAAGCTCTCGGACCCAGTCGAAAAGGTACTCCACGCAGGAAATTGTTTATCTGGAACGGCACTCGCCTGGTTTGGACCCATCATGAGGACTTTCTCGACAACCAACCAGCGCGACGAGACAACGAGACAGACGAAGTCTTTGCCAGTTTCCAAGGATTCGAAGAAGCCATTACGAAGGTATTCGGAACAACCGACGAGGAACGAGAGGCCGAACAGAAACTTCGAGAACTCCGACAAAGGATCTCAGCATCGGATTATGCTGCGAAGTTCCGTCAAGTCACCTCAAAGCTTGATTGGGACGACGAACCTCTTATGTCACGATTCTACGACGGGCTGAAAGAAGAAGTCAAGGACGAGCTCTACAAGGAAAATCGACCTGACAACCTCTCGGACTACATTGCTATGGCAGTACGAATCGACGACAGACAGTATGCGCGACGCCAAGAAAAGAAACAAGGAAGAGGAAACTGGAACCCTTCCTATGGGAACAACTTTAACCGACGCGCCAACTACAAAAAGAAGCGCGAAACTCCCATTGCCTACGCCCACACAACTAACCCAGGCAGGATGGATCTGGATGCAACACAGAAAAGCAAAGGAAAGTGTTTCAACTGCGGGAAACCTGGACATTACTCCAAAGAATGCAGACAACCTCGCAAGGAGAAGAAAACCCACTGGGCACCAGCCCCAGAAGGTAAGAAACACCTAAACGCTACTAACAGACAGGAACCAAAGCATGAACTCCTTAGTTGGACTGCATGCTACGACGACGAATGCACGGTACACCTAAGCGACAAAAACGGTACCGGATGGTTCCCAAAGCCACCAAAGAAAACCCTTGCAATGATGCAACGAAGGGATCCCAAAACACAGAAACAAGTCAAATTCGCAGAACCGGAACACCCCTATCCTGAAGGAGTCTCCCAAGACTGGATCAGGAAGAACGGCAAACGATTCCAGGAAGACATGCGAAACAAAAATCGACAACAACGACGGGCAGTCTATAAACAACATAACAAAGAAGATACGGACGCAGCCCTTATGCTCACGAAACTCGGACAACAACCCGAAGAGGAACAACGAAGTTTCGACGACACAAGCTCTGAAGAACAAGACACGCTACAAGAAACAGAAGACGAGGATGAACTCGCACCACCACCCTCACTACTAAGGAAAACGCCACGATTGGAGAACACGCTCCATACTTCGAAGAATTCGAAGAAATGCTCAAAATTGGAACTCAACAAATACCTCAAATTCTCACGGAAAACCAACAAGCTGCATTGATTCGATACCAACCGGCACCACGCGGAGGAGACTACGCTGTGGCTATCGCCGCAGTCGACACCTTTACAGCCCTACAACGAGAATGGCAACCACGAGGAGAATTTTCAGATGACCCAAGAACAGTGCTCAGTCACGAAGAGCACAAACATATTTCATGGATCTCATGCGTCTATTTGGACTGCATGATACACTTCAGATGAAGGCACGACACGACGCCTTCCCAGTCAGATTCGACGGACAAATACTTTCGAAACCCTACCTAAGCACGGAACTGGACTACTGGAAAATCGATCAACGTTACCCGAACGACCAAGTCATGTTATTGGAACCCGATTACGGCACGCCACTTGAATGCCGCGATGATTACGGTTCTTTAACGAGATGTCTTTCGGAAACATGCAAAATCCACAAACACGCCAAAATTGGGGAATGGCACAACGCCACTCGCTCTAAGGCATCCGAACCATCTATCTTCACAAGACTCGCGCAACGAATCAGATGCGACGAAGAAGATTACAACGAATGTGCACACCCGAACTGCAAAGTTCACGAACACGAAAAGGCACGAGCATGGCACAAACGACACAACGGTGCACCAAAGGACTACTGGCGACACCTACGAAGGCTACAAGCTACATTCGACCAAGGAAAAATTAACGCAGAAGAACTACGCGCAAAACAGAAAGACGCAGAACGAAAACTCGATTCCTGGTACGAAAACGAACAGAATTGCGAAGCACGGTACGCAATCAACTGCGAAGCAGCACAATGCAAACAACACAGCGTTGAGAAACAAGAAATCTTCGATTGGCTACAAGAAATCAGTCTCTTGAGCCCCGACACGACACCACGCGACGAAAACATAAAGAAACGATATCAACAACAAATCGAAGAAGAATACCCAAATGAAACGAATAAGGACCAGGCAAAAACGAGGTACGCCATCTGTAAAGGGCTACAGACTGGCACGACACGACAAGATCCAAGGACCCTATGCATGGCAACGGCAAGCCATGGCAACCAAATGGTATTGGACATCCAAATCGCGGGACATCACGTACACGCACTATTGGATTGCGGCGCGATGGGCAATTACGTTTCACCTAGAGTCATCAATCGTTACCGACTCCCATGGAGACACAAGAAAGATCCATATGAACTCACGAATATCGAAGGAGAGGCCTTCAACTATAACAACGGAATCATTGATATGGAGATTGATCACCTCGACATCAATATCCAGGGCCACGACGAACGAGTCGACTTCGACATCATGGACATTGGAGAACACGACCTTGTGTTAGGGCTTCCATGGTTACAGGAGAGCAACCCACTGATCAACTGGAAAACTGGCCAGCTGCGTTGGAACGAAGACGCAAGTTTCCAAGACCAGCAGATTTGGGAGAAAGCAAAATTTTGCGATGATTTAGCCACTGAACAGGACGAAAGGGATGACCGTTCAAGCAAATCATTACGGGCTTCAGCGATACAAACGAAAACAGCAACCGAACCGGCGGACACAACAAAATCGACTGACAAGACCCACGTACTGACCAACACGGCTGTACAACCTGGCATCCGACATAAACAGAACAAAGGACACAACAAGAAGATCCGAAGAGTTATTGCCACTCTAAGGAAAGACCTCGAACAAATCAACAAAGAGCTCGAGTCAGGGAAACCAGCTCTCAAAAGAAAGAACAAAGCCCACAAGACAGAATGAAGAACATCCCACAGGAATACCGGAAATACGACAAACTCTTCAAGGAAGAACTCGAGACAGGGTTACCCGAACACAGTCAATGGGACCACGAAATTTGTCTCAAAGATGGAAGAACGCCGACGTTCCATAAGATTTACAACCTAAACGAAAAGCAACTGCAAACGCTACGCGACTACCTCGACGAGAATCTACGAAAGGGATACATACGAACATCAACATCCGAAGCAGGCTACCCAGTCATGTTTGTTCCAAAGAAAACGGCAAGCTACGACTAGTTGTCGACTACAGACGCCTAAACGATATTACAATGAAGGACCGAACACCATTACCGCTTATATCGGAACTACGAGATCGACTGCACGGCAAAAAATGGTTTACGGCCCTCGATCTCAAAGGCGCCTACAACTTAATACGCATGAAAAGGGGACACGAATGGATGACAGCTTTCAGAACGAAATTCGGACTATTCGAATATCTGGTAATGCCATTTGGACTCACAAATGCACCAGCTACCTTCAACGGATGATCAACAATGTCCTACGCGAACACTTGGACATCTTTGTGGTAGTATACCTGGATGATATCCTAATCTTCTCGGACACCCTAGAAGAACACAAGGAACACGTCCACAAGGTACTCCGCGCACTTCAGAATGCGAAGTTACTGGTTGAACCAGAAAAAAGCAAGTTCCACACACAGGAAGTAGATTTCCTCGGACACACGATCTCACCAGGAGAGATACGAATGCAACAAGACAAGATCAACTCAGTCAAAGAATGGCCAACGCCAAAGAACGTCAAGGACGTACAAAGTTTCCTAGGATTTGCGAATTACTACCGACGATTCATCAAAGATTTCGGAAAGATTGCAACACCACTACACGACTTAACGAAGAAGGAAAAAGAGTTTACATGGGACGACAAAGCCAACGAAGCTTTCGAATGCATCAAAACGACGATTACGCAAGAACCGGTCTTAACCACCTTCGATCCAGAACGACAAATCGAACTCGAAACCGATGCATCAGACTTTGCTCTAGGAGCACAAATCGGACAGAAGGACGATGAAGGAAGACTACGACCAATTGCATTCTACTCGAAAAAGCTACATGGCGCAGAACTCAATTACCCCATCTACGACAAAGAATTCCTCGCAATCATTCAAGCTTTTAAGGAATTTCGACACTACCTTCTCGGAAGCAAACACAAAATCAAGGTCTACACAGATCACAAAACATCTCACATTTCGCGACGACGCAACAATTGAACGGACGACAGATCCGATGGGCCGAATGTCTATCAGAATTCGACTACGAAATAATCCACAGAAAAGGAACAGAAAACGGTCGAGCTGATGCCCTCAGCCGACGATCCGACTACGACACAGGAGCACCTATTGTGAAAGGACAACTCCTTGAGCTCAACAATGAAGGAATATGCAACAACGACAGCTTAACGCAATCTTCAAGGTCAATCCAGACGAAGGCCTTACGAAGAAGATCCAACAAGCCTACGATAAGGTTGATTGGGAACCACTTCCAGTTGTTTGGGAAGATGGCCTGGCAAAGCATCAAGGAAAGATCTTTGTACCAGAAGAACTTCAGGACGAAGTTATACGCGAAATTCACGAACACCCGACACACGGACACCAAGGAATCCGGAGGACGATGGAAAGAATTCGACGAATCTACGACTTTCCACGGATGAAGAAACGAATCAGCGAAACTATCAGAAAATGCGAACTTTGCGCACGAAGCAAAGCTGAACGACACAAGCCATACGGAGAATTACAACCACTACCAGTACCAGAAAAACCATGGGATTCAATAGCTTTCGACCATGTCACGAAGCTACCACTGTCAAAAGAACCCATGACCAACGTCAAGTACGACAGCATATTCGTCATTACCGACAGATTGACGAAGTACGGATACTTCTTGCCGTACAAAGAAGCAAGCAATGCAGAAGAGCTAGCATATGTGTTCCTACGAACTATTGTCAGCAATCACGGACTACCGAACGAGATTGTCTCTGACAGAGGAAGCACATTTGTGGCCAAGTTTTGCAAGCTCTCATGGCACAATTGGGGACGAAACATAAGCTCAGCACAGCTTATCACCCACAAACAGATGGACAAACAGAACGACTCAACCAAACGCTTGAACAATATTTACGATGCTACATCAGCTACGAACAAAACGATTGGGTTAAATGGCTACCGACGGCACAACTAGCTTACAACAGCTCAGTCACAGAGACAACCAAGCTCTCACCAGCATACGCCAATTACGGATACAACCCAGAAGCATTCAAGGTCACTCGACAAGGACCACAAGCGGAACGAGCGATACTGCAAGCAGATCAGCTACGAAAATTGCATGAAGAAATGCAACAAGAACTTCAATTCGTCAGAGAACGAATGTCCACTCACTACAATCGGAAAAGATTGCAGGGACCAATCTTTCGAGAGGGAGACATGGTCTACCTCGTACGACGAAACATCAAAACAAAACGACCAAGCAACAAATTGGATTTCAAGAAACTTGGACCGTTCAAGGTCAAGAAAACCATTTCAAAAGTCAACTACGAACTTTCGCTACCAACAACAATGCGGATACACCCGATATTTCATATCTCATTATTGGAACCAGCACCACGAGACGCCAAACTACAGGACAAAATCGAAGTCGACGATGATCAAGAATACGAAGCCGAACAAATACTGGATACAAGAAGACAAGGTCAGCAACAAGAATACCTTGTTAAATGGAAAGAATACGGACCAGAGGAAAATACCTGGGAACCACTCAAGCACCTGACGCACTGCGGCTCCCTACTTCGGCAGTTCCACCAACGAACCCAAGGTCAGCCAGAAAAGACGGAGAGAGCGCTACCTCGGGGTGGACAGCGTCCCAGTCTCCGACAAACTCCGAAGGCAACCGATCAGAATGAGGGGAACACGGCTGCACCTCACTAACTCGACGCTGCTCCCTCTCCGCTTCCTCGCGCTCGACGCGCTCCAACTCCTCGACACTATCAAGACCACGAGAAACCGCCTGCATCATTCTCTCGAACCACATCTTCTTTTGCTTCCGCAACCGCTCCACTTTGGCATCCAACTTGCGACGCTCCTCCTCCGCAGCCTCGAGCTCAGACTCTATTTTTGGTGCTGTGCGCCAATCTTGCGGAGCTGCTGGACCGAAAGCCCTTGGCATCGCAGTAGGATAGGTTCAGGCGAACGCAGTCATAACAACGTGACGAGTCGGACACCGATATTTGGCAATCCGTGAAACCACGAGAACGGCAAGACGAGCATGCTTCAGGCATGATGGCGGAACTTCCCAGTATAACGCCGAGAAGGGCGTTGCGCTGCTCTGTCTTGGAAGAACGAGGTTTGAAGCGATTCTTAAGAACACGGTCAGACGGCATGACGGGCCATGATGATGAAGGAAGGAAAGAAAAAACACACACACTCACGCAGAAAGACAGCCAGGATACGCGACACGGCGGCTAAAGCAGGTCTTGAGGGCAAGACCAAAAGAGGGGGAGACCTGATGTTACGACCCGACCAACGGTTGGTCACAAGCAGCCCTCAACAAGGCCGACACGTGACGGAGGTACAGGATCCCGCGAAGTCACGTGATGGATCATTTGATCACTTGGTGATCCCAACGATCCGGCTCATTGGATCATCTCGATGATCCAACGACGATGTACAGGATCATTGGATCGTCTCAATGATCCAACGATCCGTGAACAGGATCATCACGTTCGCTGAATGATCCACGAAGGACCACTGGGTATATAAGGACACCCAATTCCACTCCTTTAGACTAGATAGCTCTTTAGCTTTCAACACAATCATTACGATCCCTATCACGATCTCATCTCTGATTCCGATCACTTGATTACCTGGTTACAGTCTACGGTCTACGACCTCCGACTCATCACCAACGTGACATACTTATCATTGCTCAGACCACGCCCTGTTGTATCTGCCAACATAAACCCCACGACAGGTTTATCCCTTGGGAATATCACCGGTCGTCACACTATATTAAATACCCTAATATTAATTTATTTCTAAACTGCGATTTTATAGAGTTAATTCTAGCTAGTATAGAAAATCAGGATCTAAAAATTCTAAAGACTTATAAACAGGCAATAAATAGCCCTAAAGTAGTATTTTAGAAAGAAGCTATAATTAAGGAAATTAGCTAGCTAATTAAATATAAAACTTAGGAATTTTCCTACCTCCTTAAAGATAGGGAGGCTATAGGAGGCCGCTAGGTCTATACTATTAAGAAGGATATTTAAAATAATATAATAAAATATAAAGCCCGTTTCGTAATATAGGGATTTAAGTAGATCTATAGCTTAGATTTCCTAGATACCTTCTCGACTACGGCTAGACCTAAATCTATTAGAATTCTACTTATTTTAGCTATTATTAACGAATTCGAAGCTTTATAGATAGATATAATAAATGCCTTTATATATACCGATATAGATAGCGAAGTATATATCGATCTTCCTATAGGCGAAGAATACGCTCTTAAAGAATATTATTTAAAATATAGATTAGCTTATAGAGCTAAAGGAATTAAATTAACTAAATTCCTAGACCTATATTAAACCGGCTAAATTAAAGCAAAGCTAAAGAAAGCATTATATAGCCTAAAATAAAGTCCTAAGCTCTAGTATAATCATTTAAAAATTATACTAAATAATCTCGGATTTCTTCCTCTTTTAATAAATAAAGGAGTATTTATAAATAAGGACTATAGTATAGCCTTATTAATTTACGTCGACGACTTTCTTATAGTAGGGCCCTCTAAATCTATAATAAAAGAAAGATTATTTAAAGAATTATTTAAATTCCTAGATTTTACTATCTTAGGAGATATAAAAGACTTCTTAGGTCTAAATATTATAATAAACCGAGAGAATAAAGAGCTATATATATCCTAAGAAAATTATACCTAAATAAATTAAAGGAATTTAATAAAGAAGGTTTAGAACTTCGAATTTACCTACTATAGTAGGCTTTAAGCTTATAAAAGCAAAGGAATTACCTTCTAAGGAAGATATATTATAATTTTAGAAAGAAATAGGATCTCTATTATACTTAGCCTTATTTACTAGGCTAGATATCTTATATTCTATAGTTTCCTATGCTAGATTCATGCTAAGCCCGACTAAACGTATTTAAGGCTTTAAATATAATTTAGAAATATTTAAATAAATTCCCTAGCTTAAAGATTAAATATAATTGCAATATCCCTTTTACCTATCTATATATAAAGGGTTTTACCGACTCTAGCTAGGCGTCGGATTTAACGGACGGAAAATCCTTTTCCGGTTACTATTTTTATATATATAATAATATAATAAGCTAGGCTTACAATAAGTAGAAAGCCGTTGCCCTTTCTACCTACGAAGTAGAGTATATTAGCCTTAGGGAGGCAAATAAAGAAGCTATTTATTTAAATATACTTTTTAAAAATATTACTAAGGATATATCTAT